AGTATTTATAAAGAGAATATAAAAGTTTGTGAATTTAATAAAAATAACCTTCCATTCTCCACTGCCCTAATTGTTGATTTACATTACATATAGCTCCTTCACATGTTTGCCTTTTTTATTTCTAGATTTTTGGGTTTTTTCTCCTTCAACAATTGAATTTTTAAACTACAAAAAATATTTAACATATGTAGAAATAAAATGCAGCAATTTTAAATTTGTTTATGTCAATGCACTTCCTACTCTGGAATCAGTTTAGCTCACTGAATCTGGTGGTTTTGTTGACTAGGTATAGATAATGCCTATGATATGACTTTATAAGTATGTAAGCAAAGTTTACTCATTATGTTTCAATTTAGGGTACATCTTAATCCATCATTCCCTGACACACACCAACTATGTAAAATGTCAAATGCGATGTCAAATCCAAAGCCTTAAAGAAGAGTTCAGTTCCAAAAAAAACCCACAAAAATTGGTGATAGCATAACAATGGAAAATATTCTCTAGTGCTTAACAGCATTAAATTGTTGTTGTTGTTGTTATGTGCCATCAAGTATCTTGGAACTCATAGTGAGACTATGTACAACAGCTCTGAACCCTCCCCTATTATGAGAGAATCTCATTGACTCTGATACATCTACCCCCTTTACCACAGTTATTGTGTCAATCCATTTCATCCAGGGTCTTCCTTTCCTACACTGTCTTTCTACCCCTTCAAGCATGATGTCTTTCTCCAAAGACTGGTCTCTCCTGGCCATGTGCCCTAATGATGGGACACAGAGCTTCAAGATCCTTGCCTCCAAGGAGAAACTTGGTCTGACCCTCTCCAAGAAATACATATTCATTCTTCTGGAAGTCCATGATATGTTTAAGACTCTTCTCCAGCACCACAACTCAAAGACATCAATTCTTCTTCCATTGTTGTTGTTGTTGTTATGTGACGTCGTGTGCGACTCATAGCGACCCTATGTACAATAGCCCTAAACCATCCTCTATCCTGTGCCAATCTAATTGCCTCTGACAAACCCATCCCGAGTACCCCAGTCACTGAATCAATCCACCTCATAGAGGGTCTTCCCCTCCTGCGCTGTCCCTCCACTCTACCCAGCATGATGTCCCTCTCTAAAGACCTGTCTCTCCTTACAACATGTCCAAAGTATGTCAGACGAAGCCCCAGAATCCTTGCCTCCAAGGAGCAGCCTGGTTTAATCTTCTCTACGATGAATCTGTTTGTTTACTTGGCAGTCCATGGTACATTCAATACTCTTCTCCAGCACCACAGCTCAAAGGCGTCAATTCTCCTTCTATCCTCCCTAGTCACTGTCCAACTCTCTGATGCATAACAAGTGATTGCAAAAATCATGAGACACTTGAGTTGCTCTTGAGTATTTTGGAGAGGTCCCTAACCACAGACTTTCCCATCGCAATACGTTTTTTTATTTCCTGGCTACTGGTGCCAAGAGTGTTGACCGTGGAGCCGAGCATTATCCTTAGTTATTTTCCAGCTCTGTGATACATATCACATAATTGTGAAGACTATGGCCTGGATCAGGCACACCTTAGTTTCTAGACTTACCTAATGACTCCAGCACTCTGGAGAGGTCAATGACAGCAGACTTTCACAATGCAATTTATCTTTTGATTTTCTGACTGATGGTGTCAAGAGTGTTGATTGCGGAGCCAAGCATGATGAAATTGTTACTTATTCTCTTCTACATTCATCATGGTATTGTTAATTGGCCCAGTGGTGAGAATCTTTGTTTTGATGTCTTGCTTCAGCCAATAATGAAGACTACAGTCCTTGACCTTCTAGTACTGCTAAAACAATACACAAGGGATTTATCAAAACATTTGTAGGTTCCTTCTAATGTACATATAAATAGAACCATAGAAGCTTTTTATAGTAGCTAATCATTTTATGGCCTTATAGATTTAAAGAACAAAATTGAATTTAAACCATTATTTCACACCCTATCCTTTATTTCTAGATAAAACTATCCTTTTTCTTTCTTTAAGTAGTTTTAAGTGTCTAGATTTCCTAGGTCATATTTAAGGAAATCATCTCCAGATTTGTGGACATTGTTGCTCTTCATCTGGTACATGAAAATTCCAACACATACCATACTGCCATTCATCATCATCACATGTTCTTAATTATTAGTGAAATCAGAGATTCTCAACATTTTCTGGGTTAAAAAAATAAGATGTAGAATCAGTAGATTCAATGAGGATCTAGTTTTTCCTTGCCATACTGCATTTAATTCGTCATATGGATTGAGTTGAGAGGATATGGAAGCAGAGAGATTTCTAGGCCTGCATTTGTCAACAGTCGAGATGTAGAAGGGAGAACGATACCACAAGAAGACAGGCTGTGCACTGCAGGGGACCTCCACTTCCCTGGGTGGTAGTGTTGGAGCTTTGTGTGGCAACCGAAGTATACTTGGAGGAATTACTTGATTGTAGCATGATAATTGCATTATCTGAATAAATCTGTGTGTGGAGGAGCAGGGCAAGGTACAGCAGCCCCAGTTCAAGACTGGCCAACATTGCTCTAACCATGTCTGCTCCTTCCTTTTACTTTTGACTTTCAAACTATGCAGAAAAACAGCAAACTACACAGGAAAATAGCACTAAATAGTTTTAAATAAACAAATAATTTAAGTGTTCTCTTTCTATTCCAGCTTTAAAGTTAACTTCACAGCTTCCTTCAAGTCAACTTTTAGGACCACCTGATCCAGGTATTAGTCTTCGCAATTACATGCTATGCATCAGAGAGTTGGACAGTGAATAGGGTTGATAGAAAGAGAATTGATGCCTTTGAGTTGTGGTGCTGGAGAAGAGTGTTGAGTATACCTTGGACTGCTAGGAGAACAAACAGGTTTGTCCAGGAGAGGGTGAAGCCAGAATGTTCCCTGGAGTCAAGGATTCTGAAGCTTCATCTGACATTTTTGGGCATGTTGAAAGGAGGGACTGCTCCTTGGAGAGGGATATCATATTTGGGAGAGTGGAGGGACGGCACAGGAGAGGAAGACCCTTGATGAGATGGATGGATTCTGTGAGTGGAGTGGTGGGAATGAGTGTGTTTGAGACAGCGAGGTTGGCAGAGGATAGAATGGTATTTAGGGCTCTTGTACAACAACAACAACAGTAGTGTAATATAAAGCTATGGTGGTCTAGTGACAAGAAGTAGCACTGCAATCCCAAAGACACTCAGTTGGAGGCCACCTGCTGCTGTGAGGGAGAAGGATAGGAAATCTCTTCCTGTGGCATTAACTGCCTCCAAAAACTCCCTGGAGGGTCAACAATAACAGTAGTGTAATACTCTGTAGTGGTTCAAATCCACAAGCAAATCCTCGAGAAGATAGACACTTTTCTTCTGTTAAGATTTACATTCCCAGAAGTTATAAAATGGTCACTTGGATTGACTTAATGGCAGTGAGTTTGAAGATTTTGTCTTTGAGGGGTTTTTTCGTTTGTTTTTTGTTTTGTTTAAGTGAACTTTATATTGTTGTTGTTGTTATGTGCCATCGAGTCACTTACAACTCATAGTGACCCTATGTACAACAGCCCTAAACTCTTCTCTGTCCTGTGTCAATCAAACTGTCTCTGACACACCTATCCTGATTACCCCAGCCACTGAATCAATCCACCTCATAGAGGACCTTCCCCTCCTGCGCTGTCCCTCCACCCTACCAAGCATGATGTCCCTCTCAAAGGACTAGTTCCTCCTTACAACATGTCCAAAGTTTATTAGACAGAGCCTCAGAATCCTTGCCTCCAGGTAACCACCCAGTTTAACCCTTTCCAGGATGAATCTGTATGTTTTCCTAGCAGTCCATGGTACCCTCAATACTCTTCTCCAGCACCAAAGCTCAAAGGCATCAATTCTCCTTCTATCCTCCCTAGTCACTGTCCAACTCTTTGATGCATAACAAGTGATAGCAAACACCATGGCCTGTATCAGGCACACCTTAGTCTTGAGAGAGACACCATTGCTCTTCAGTACTTTGGGGAGGTCCCTAAAAGCAGACTTTCCCATGTCAATAAGCCTTTTCATTTCCTGGCTACTGGTGCCGAGAGTGTTGAATGTGGAGCCAAGCAAACTAAAGTTGTGAGCAATCTCAATCTCTTCACCATCCATGTTTTACTCTTTCTGCTCTCTCCTGAGATGTTAATTAATTTGTGTATTTCCTTACCTCTCTTTATATTTTAAATATACATGCATTAAAATGTAGTTTTATACAGTTATGTGTGTTTAATACATATATACGTTTATAATTTCCACTCTCTCAAAATACATAACAATCCATTGTATCATTAAACTCCTTCATGCTTTCAATTTGTAGTCATGTTGTTCTCAAACCATTAAGTGTGACAAGAACTGCTCATTTAATGTCATCTAATGATTTTTGTGATTTTTTTTCCCAGGAGATCATGTACATGGAATCATACAGTTCACAGCATTTTGAGGCTAATTTCTTTCACTCAACATCATGTCTTCAATATTAATTAATATTAATATGTGTATTAATAGTTAATTATTTTTGGGTTTTGGTAATACTCCATTGAATGATGAGTCACAATTTGTGCTGTTTGTAGCTTGGGGTAATTAGAACTAAAGCAAATAAAATAATTTATGCAGGCGACGTGGCACGCAAGCAGGGCGATGCGGCACAGTAAGTCTTATTTGCTGAGGACTGGTGACTTGGCAGCTTAATATCTTGGAACAGACTGCAACACCTAACTCGCAGCGCTGCCCAAGCCCTGCACCCCGATCCCTGTCACAGCACCCTATCCAGGTACACCACCCCACCACCATCCCATGCCCCCACACTTTTGGCACACCCTGGTGGCCTCGCCACAACCCTACACCTCATGGTGGTGCTCCAGGGCCACTAGAGACTCCTTCACGCAACACAACAACAGCCGTGGACAATACGATCCTGAGTCAGCACACAAAGGCACACCATGGAGACAGCCATCATCTGAAGCCACCAATCAAGCTGCTGTGGGACTGATCTGCCACCAGAAAGGCTCGTAGGATTCTAATTGGGTTTTCCTGGGCAATACCTATTGTCTGGGAGAGTTCCAAAGGTTGAGCCCACTGGTGGGAATTTGGCTGAGCTCTCTCAGGGCAAGCCAACTACCCAGGAAAGAGTGGGCCAGTGATAATTTGGCGGAACTTTTGTCGACACTGCAGACCAGCCAGAGGCGAGTGGGTTAGTGGAAATTTGACTTTGTCTTGTTGAGTCCCCTTGACCCAGGAGCCTTCCTGGGCAGGGGCCATGGTGCAAGGGCAACTGCATGAGCACCACTGGAGAGGGATCAGTGAAAGAAAACCACTTGGTGGGAGACAGACAGCTGAAATTTGAATAGGGACCCCAGTTGTATGCACACCCAGACAACTGAGGCCTAAGTGAGGTCTCCCAAGTGGTTGAACTGCCCTTGTGATTGCCACAACCACGGGCATGCCCTTCCCTATTTGACTCCAAACTTGTGTCTACACATCTGGTTAATCAACCTGCCTATAATCCGGAGCACCTTGACCTATCTTACCTACCAGAGGCTGCTTTCACAGGCTCTGAAATAACATTTCCCTGGAGTCAGATGTTCAGAGAAAAGCAAAAGTGGGATAGCTACCCAACTGATCTCTAGAGCATTATCTTCATCAAGAACATATCGATGTCTCAAAGAAAGCAAGCTGTCCCACACAATACACAAGCACAAAGCAAGATATCACCCCAAAGGGTGACACAGTATCAATGGATTTCCTGAAGCCAGAAGGTCTGATGGAACTTTCTGACACAGAATTTAAAAGAACATGATTGAATATTTTCAATGGATGAAAGACAAACTTGAAGAATTACAGGATACTACAAACAAAAAAAAAGGAGAAACTTTAAAAAAAAACAAAACAGTCCAGAACAATGTAGAGAAAACAAACGAGGCATTAGCGGCACTGGAAAAACAAGAAACCACCATCCAAAATATGAGGTCCAATGTTTCAGATACTGTCAACATGATGGAGGGGCACATGAACAGAGTTGAAGAGATGGAACAAAGAACTAATAAAATAGAAGACAAAATTGTCACCAAGGATTTGCTAGAGCAAAAAGCAGACTCAAAAAGGAAGGAAAAAGAAGAAAACCTAAGAATAATGTGGGACACCATCAAGAGAAATAACCTGCACATCATTGGAATCCCAGAAAATGAAGAAGCAAGTAAAGCCACTGAAAAAGTTGTGAAAGAATTACTAGAGGAAAACTTTCCAGGCATAATGAAGAGTGACAGAATATATATACAAGAAGCTCAGCAAACACCATATAGACTTGACCCAAAAAGAAAAACATCAAGGCATATCATAGTTAAATTTGTCAGAACCAAAGATAAGGAGAGAATCCTGAAAGCAGGAAGGGAGAAACAAAGAGTAACCTATAAGGGAGAGCAGATAAGATTAAGTGCCGATTTCTCAAAAGAAACCATATATCAAACACTCAAAGAACAAAACTGGCAACCAAGAATACTATACCCAGCAAAATTATCCATCAAATATGAAGGAGAGATCAAGATGCTCCCAGAAAAGCAAAACCTAACAGAGTTTGTAAAAACAAGACGAGCATTGCAGGAAAGACTCAGAGATGTCCTTCTTACAGAGATACCACAGAAAGCATAATGGACCAAAGTAACTAGCAACAACACCAAAAAGAACTCAACACAATGATATCAATAAAACCTTGCCTCTCAGTCATCACACTGAATGTAAATGGTTTAAATGCAGCACTGAAGAGAAAAAGAGCAGCAGACTGGATAAAAAGTCAAAATCCATCAATATATTGTCTACAAGAGACACATCTGAAAAATGAAGATAAAGACACACTAAAAATAAAAGGGTGGGGGGAAATATACCAAGCAAACAGCAACCAGAAAAAAGCAGGAGTAGCGATATTAACCTCCGATAAAGTAAATATCAATGTAAAAACCATCACAAAGGACAAGGAAGGTCATTACATAATGCTGAGAGGGTAAATAGAACAAGAGGACATAATAATAATAAATATCTATGCACCAAATGAAAGACATGCAAACTACATAAAACAAACATCAACAAAACTGGAAAAGGAAATAGACAACACTACTATAATATTTGGAGACTTCAATATACCTTTCTCAAGAAAAGATGGAACTACCAGAAAGAAACTCAACAAAGACACTGAAGAATTAAACCATACAATAAACCAACTTGAGCTCATAGATATTTACAGGCTAATGCACACAAAAAAACCCCAAAAACCCACAGTATACCTTCTTCTCCAATGTACATGTGTACATGGACCATTCTCCAGAATAGATCATGTTCTGGGACACAAGGCAAGCGTCAGTAAATTAAAAATCATAGATATAATACAAAGCATCTTTTCAGACCATAATGCTACAAAATTAGAAATTAATAATAGGACAATAAAGGAGAAAAAAAACATGAATTTGGAAACTGAACAACTCCTTGCTTGAACACGACTGAGTACTAGAAAAAATAAAACGTGAAATTAAAAAGTTTCTTGAAATAAATGACAATGAAAACACCACTTACCAAAACCTCTGGGAAACAGCCAAAGCAGTAATTAGAGGTCAATTCATAGCAATGAGCAAACACATCAAAAGGCAAGAAAATTTAACCATTGATTGTCTAACTCAACATATCAGCAAATTGGAAAAGAGCAGCAAGAAAACCCGACACCCTGTAAAAAAACCGAAATTATAAAAATTAGAGCAGAAAGAAATGAAATAGAAAACAGAAAAACAATCGAAACTATCACCAAAACTAGGGTTGGTTCTTTGAAAAGGTCAATAAAATCAACAAACCATTAGCAAAACTCACAAAGGAAAAGAAAGAAAAAACACAAATAATGCGAATAGGAGATGAGTCAGGCAACATCACAACAGAACCAATGAAAATAAAAAAGCTAACATTAGAGTATTATGAAAAATTACACGCAAACAAATATGAAA